GAAATAAGGTAATTCGAACATCAGCTAAGTTATTCACGCTGCTGTAGTTGCGTACCTTAGTACGAATTAGGGGGGGTAGTGTAGACCAAGCCTAAGGGGACTGTCTGTGACTCCATCATAAGACTATTGTAGTACTTGGGAAATTCACATTTGGTACTGTGTTGGTGAAATCCAATTATAGAACATACTACCAGTTGGGGTGTCTGCCCTGCTTTTGAAAGTCTGCCCTGAGGTAGACACTCATGGTCGTGAGCCACACCAGACAACGTGACAAAAGTATTACCAGAAAAAAAAACAATTAATCTTTCACCCAAACTAAATATTTTAATGTTTATTCTTTCCACACACTCTTTATTTCTCAGAATGCCAAAGTATCACGGAGATGAAGAAAGAGTGAAGGCTATTCAGGCACTTTCCCTTACCTGAATGTGCAGAATGCAGGAAGAAGCCCAGTCCAATATTATGACCTCAAATCAGCTGGTTTTGAGTTTAAATACAAAATGATAATGAAGTGTCCAGGTGGCAAAAATTCTGCTATAGCAGCTGCAGAGACCGTTCAAAAACTCAAAACCAGCAGCCTCACAGATTAACAGTTCTCCATAATATTATCTTTGTAACATGCAATTTGTTCCCAATGATAATTAGATATTTAGAGACACACATAATTAGAGAAAATGACTTAATGCTTTTCCGTTTGCTGAGAAATCTACTGGCAGGAAAGGAGATCCACTACAGGGAGTAATGTGATTCTGGTACTGAAATTAGCAGCAAAAGGCAAAGACAAAATATTTTTAAATTCTCGGCAAGGTAAAATAATGCTGTACTAAATACAGACCATTTCCCCCCTCAAATGACTTAGTTCCCTTCCTAATAAGTGTTTTATAAACATGGATCTCTGAGAGACATATAGAAGATGTATTAAGAAATGAACAAGAATAAAAATTCCCTGTGAAATAGATCTTTCCTAGCCCAGTTTGGGATAATAGATAAAACATTCAAAGAGCCATTAGTTTAAGAAGGCATTTGTTTCTTCTTTCTTCTCATTTTTACCTTGTGTATCTGCTGCAGCTCTTTCTTTTTCTTTGCTTTTGCTGCTGCAGTGCCTGTCACCAAAACATATATTTAACTGTACATCCTTTTCCCTCTGGATTTTATTTACCATGTCACTCACCAGCTAACGTCATATAAGTACACCTCAAGCTACTGAAAAAGCGCATTCTCCACATTCACCACTAATATCATTCCATAGTGGGGTGCTTTGTGAGAGAAGCAGCTATCATCCAAAGACAAACCATTTCTATGACATATTCAATCTGCTTTCACCCACGGCCTGAGGCCATATGTCTGCAGCACTAGAATGTTTAAGTAGGCCCTACAGCAGGCTGTTCCTGAGCAACTGAGAGTTCTCAGTTGTTTTGTTCAGCACCAAAAAACCTCACTCTCTCGTCTATGCAAACACACAGACACACAAAAGAACTATGTTAAATGAACGTTATCTGGGAGGGAAAGTCATGCACTTAAAATTACGAATACTTTAGCTAGCAACAGGACAAGTCTGTTCAGCTCGGGGTAGAGGTGGGATGGGTTGTGCCCACAGACGGATGGGGAGTCTATCTTGGATGCCTCTCTCTCCCCCCACCCCTGTGAGGTGTAGTGCCCTGGGGAAAGGGGTGGGAAATGGGCTGTTGGGGTCACCTGCTGACTCCACAGGATTGTAGGGGGAGCCTGGCCTGGCTCTTTCCATGCTCAAGGACACGAGGGAGTTCCTGTCCCATGTAGTAACTCCAGTGAATGGGATGCTGGGACCATAGGCAGGGTGCAGGGCTGAGAGACTGTGGAGGGGAGAGCCTGATCTGGTTCAGCTCTCCCCATACTGCTCCAGCAGCTCCACTCATCCCAAGTACAGTGACTGCTGCTGCTTCTACAACAGCGGAAGCAACACAAATCTGGCTCTTTAGAACGCGTTCCATTATATGTTGGCATGCTGCCAACGTCTTCCTGAGGCATGCAATTGAGAGGATGAAAATTATGATAGTTAACAGTTTATAATTCAGCTAAATCGGAATAGAATTTAATGGGACAAAGAAAATGCACTTCTCTAGCCCCAGGGCTTTCTCCCTGCTAAATTTCAAAGGTCTGCTGGAAACAATAGAGGTGGTAGAATTTCTACTAAAAGTTGTCAAGAATCTTTTATAATTGAAGGTGTTAGACAACCTAAATATATAGCAACCAGACCCCCTATATATATTTATATACACATATGCACTAACTCCACACATACGTGGACATATTTGATAAATGGGGGATCTATGTGATAAAGCAGTGTTACTTAAATTTGCCAATTGTCTGAGATAATAATGGGCTAGATCTTGATACCCTCACACATGAATAGTTATAACTTATACAGCGTCAGTGAATCAATAGGGCTGCTTGAGGATTAAAGTAATACTTAACTCAGAAGGGAATCAGAACCTGTCTCTAAATACATATAAGCAGTTAGTTAACCTAATTATTTTGCAATATTCAAGGTACTTCTTATAGTAAATCCAGTATAGGGAAGTACAAAGAAATACTAAGGTTGCCATATCGATCTGTTAGGTAGAATTGGCAAGGTGTTCAGAATCATCTGTGTCAATTGCATTACCACACACCTTTAACTTCTATGTCTCCATACAGCTGCCATTAAAAAAAAATTTCAACCTGTGACAAAATTTTTCCTTCTTTCCTTCCAAATCTGGAATTTGATGGCCAAATTACTCTGGTCTGATATGCAGAATGGACAATTTGAATCTGTACCAATGATAGGTTTAAGATCCATTGTTTTATGACCTTCAAAGTCTAAAAGGGATTTTTATGCCTTTGGAAGGGAGAGATTTTCATTTTTCCAATGGGTCACACAGTGTCTGCTTCAAATCCTGCAATATCCTGAGATATTTGTGGGAATGCACGGAATATTCCTTTAAGCAATAAATATCATGAGGGAAGAAGAAATGATTAGTTACCTATACAATAACTGTGGTTCTTCAAGATTTGTTGTTGGTATATATTCCACTATTGGAGGGTATGCATCCAGTGCACTCAAGCTGGAACATTTTAGTGATTAACACCCATTAGGACCGTGCATGCATATCCTGCATATACTTGTGTCTTCCACCAAGGGCACAAAGGGCAGAGCTGCCCCAACACCCCAAGTTCCTTTGTCACCTGCAAACCAATGTTTACAGACTCTGAAGTAGTGCAGATGCTGGATGGGGGGGGTGTTGTGGAATATATATGTGTGTGTGTATATATATATATATACACACACACACACACACACACACACAGAGAGAGAGAGAGAGAGAGAGGCAAACATATATATAGAGAGACAAACATCTCTCACAACAAGAACCACAGTTACTGTACATGTAAATAACCACTTCTCATTATTTTTATATACATATATATTCCATTGTTGTTGACTCCCAAGCAGTAGCCCTTGCTGGATGTGGGTATCAGAAGCCTAATGAAAGAACGAACATAGCACAGTTGTACCAAATTTCACATCTTCTCTGGAAGCCTGGACAATAATGCACAGTGAACATGTGAATTGAGGACCATGTTGCTGCTTTACAAATATCTAAAATTGATAGGTTCTTGACAGATGTCATTGAAGTGGATTGAGCTCTTGCTGAATGAACAGTTATTTCCTGAATGAACAGGATTCTACTGTGTCTACACAGAATGCAATTAAAAGGCCGATACCTAAATTAGATGCTCAAAGGTTAATTTCAGAGAGAGGACTTCCAGCCTTGCGACATGTATTTGATAATGCAAAATTTAAGGGTAAAGGACATGAGACAGAGGACTTGAAGACACTTTTAAGACACATGGAACACTGGGCTCATAGGCTGTTTCCAAAACTGCAGTTTGATGATTTCATGGAGAGAATAGAGTCTTTGGGAAATAAAAAGGAAGTTCAAACCTGCTTAAAGCGAATTAGACTTGATCTTCCAATTTTACATGAAGATTTTACAAGTAATGAAAGTAGTGGAGGGGGAAATAATGGGCTCAAAATGTCTCCTGAAGAAGAATTAGACCCCTTTTCTGAAAACATGAAGGAAGAATTTGATTCTCACTCAAGTACTGCCCTAACAGAGGAGCAACAGCGAAGAATTGAGAGGAACCAGCAACTAGCCTTGGAAAGTAGACAGGCAAAGATGCAATTTAACAGTCAGTCACAAGAAAATGATCTGTCTGCCACCCAGCCAAATGAAGAATTTAAGACAATTGAGGCTCAGGATCCAGATGACCTGACGGAAGTAGAAATTCAAGCTGCTGAAGCCCAAGTTGCTGATATTGAAGCTGTGGACAAAGATATACAACTTAAACGTGCAGAAGAAATCAAATAACCTTTCTGTCTGGATACAATAATGTTTTAGAAAGACCCAGACAGCTTAATATGCTCAAGTGTCATTGACTTCTCTTCCCCCCCACCCCTGGACGTTCTATGGAAATCTTATTCATGACATCAATGTAGCTGGACAAAATTAATCAGTTTCCCTGTGTAAAAAAGCAGATATCAGCTCTTAAGGTACTGGAGAAAACAGCTACTATTCAGGAAAGGAGCACAACTACTCTGCATTTCAACTGTTTTTTAAACTAGCTTTTAACACAGTGACAAAAGGTATCAGTGAAAATATTGACATTAATTTCTTGGAACTATACTATGAAGTGACTTTTTTTTACGATTGACATTCCTCAAGCTTAACTTACCTGGGTCTTGAAAGCCTGAGTTTGTATAAAGTTTTTTACATCCTGTTAATTTATATAATTAAATAATTCTATGCTAGAAACAGTCTAGGAGACTTTCTGAATGCTTAGTTCTGTCCAGATAGAAATGTGTTCTATGCACATTCAAGGAATGTAACCTTTCTTCCCCTTTATTTGAATATTGTTTTGGGAAAAATATTGGTAGGTAAATATTTTGGTTTAAATGAAACCATGAAACCACCTTACGGAGAAAGTTATGGTACAGTTTAATGGAAACTTATATGGTGAGCCTGCCATTGTGCTTGCAATTCTCCCACTCTTCTGGTCAATGTTATTGCCACTAGAAAAGATATCTTAGAGACTTAAAGAGAGAGCATGTAGCAAGTATGTAGTAAGCTGAGCCCTTACAGAACTAAATTAAAGTCCCAGCTTAGAAAGGGCTGTTTTACTGGAGGAAAGAATTTTGATAAACCTTTCAGAAATCTCTTCACCACTTGGTGAGAGAATACTGAAGATTTTTGTACAGGGGGTGAATGCCTGACATCACTGTCAAGTGTATCCACAGACAGCAGATTTGTTAAGGTGCAAGTAGTAGTCCAGAATGGCTGCGATTTGAGATTTCAACAGTGATAGTTTTTGTCAAGCCCATATTGAAAATCTCTTCCATTTAGACAGGTATGTAGATCTCATATTGTGTCTGAATATATCCTGAATATCAGAGAGGCAGTGTCCTTGTTGATGACATTAGCCATTGAGTGTCCATGCTGTCAGATGGAGCATTTCAAGATCTGGATGTAAGATGTATCTCTGGTTATGGGAGATCAGATCTGGAATTAGAGTTAAGATTTTGGGTGACCATACTGAGAGGCTTTGAAGGTCCACATATTAAAATTGCCTCAGTCATGCAGGGGCTCTGCTTCTGGCTTGATCTTCTTTATTATTCCTGGCAGTGGGGGGGGGGGGGAGGGGAGAGGAGGCGGGGTATGTGTAACACAGACCTGGGGATCCAAGGAACCAGAAGTGGGTTTCTTGGATCCAGAACTCTGTCCCCCTCAACACAGAACTGTTGACATTTTGTGTTATTTTTGGTTGCAAACAAGTCCATGCTTGGGAAAGAAGATGCAAGAAGATGGTTTGAATCACAGCTTTTATCAACCACTAATGCTTGTTCATAGGTTACCTGCTTACAGCGTCTGCTAGCTGATTGTGGATCCCAGGCAGATGCATAGCTGTTAAAGTAATACCATAAAGAATACAAAAATTCCAAACTGCATTGCCTTTTGGAGCAGTTGGGAGGATCTTGCCCCTTCCTGTTTGGTTAAATAAAACATGGCAGTTATGTTGTACATCATTAATTGAATAATAAGTCCTTTTATTTCTGCAAGAAAAGCCTTTCAGTCTCGGAAGATAGCTCTCAACTCCAGTATATTTTTGTGGAGGGACATTTCCTGAGACGACCACAAACCTTGAACTGTTAATTTACCAATGTGGCTCCCCAACCTAAGGTGCATGTGTTTGTCATGCAAATCTTTGACAGAGGATGAGAGAAGGGAACTTCCTTGTAAACTTTTGCTAGATCCATCCACCAGCTCAGCGACTGAATAACAGTGGTCAGGATATGCACCGGCATGTCCAGCTGATGTTTGTCTAGTCAATATATTGACCCTGACAGCTCTGTAAGCAGTCTCACATGTGGAGTCACAAAGGTGCCTAAGGCGTGTTATTACAGAAGTCCTAACTTGTGCTTGCAGGTGTGTACACAATTCAAGAATTGTGTGAAATCTTGATGAGGGGAGATAGGCCACAGATGGATAAATTCTGTTTTCTTTGTTAGGATCAATATTGACTTTTCTTTGTTTATTAACAGACCCAGTCGAGTGGACAGCTGCGGATATGCTGGATGATGTTCTCTATTTGACAGTCCACAAACTAGACAGTTCTCCAACTATGGGAGTACTTGGATCCCATTCTTCTGAGGCAGTCTGCTACAATGGCTAGGAACTTCGTGAATACTCTGTGATCTGCTGATAGGCCAAATGGTAGAACCCTGTATTCCTAATGATGGTTTCCCACCACAAACCTCAGACAATGTCTGTGGGCCAAATGGATTGCAAAATGGAAATGCACTTCCACAACCTCGAAAGCCCACCAATCTGTTGTAACCATAGTCCAGAAATGCAGGATGTGAAACAGATGGTCTCCAAAGAGATGGAACAGGATAGGAAGACCAAAGTAACTGGTGAGTGGCTCCCGGGCGAGTACTTGAATTTGTTGCTTCAAAGACAAGATAGGTGGGTAAGATGTCATAGCTGTTAACAAGGGCTTTTTCCTACACAATTTTTGTTATTTTCTAGGAGGCTCTCTAGGTCTATACTTATGGTAAGTAGGTTGTCTATGGAAAGCTGCTTATGGTTGGGACTGGTATATATAGCCCTAATGACATGAGTAATTTCTTGCTATTTTTCCAGAAATAGGCTATAATTTCCTGGATTTCTTGAATATTTTTATGGTGTGATATAAACAGACTGCTTTATATGCAGACAATGAATAATTATAGCATTTGTGGGGCGTGTAATGTGTAGATAAGATTTAGTTTCTATTTTCCCCTCCTTTTTAGTTGTTTATAAGAACGAAAAAGTGGTTGGTTGAAAGCTATTCAGAGGCTGAAGTGACAGTGGACATTAATTTACAATGTATGGGTGACAGGGTAAAAGATGCAAGATAAATGCAATTCCTCATATGATTATATGATATATGAGAGGCCTCTCACCTCTTACAGATTTATACTACATATGCTGAGATACTACTCACATCATAAACATTTATCAGAGTTAAAACTGCCTCTTCACCATAAACTCATCCCATTATACCTAGGTATTTTAGCTTGTACAATACAGTGTATAACATTATATGTTGTTCTGAAATTCCACCTAGTTTAGTGAGGGAGAGATTGAGGGAATAGATCTGCAGTGCACCAGTCCTTCTTTGTAGCATCTACTGTATGTAATAAGAAAATGACCTTTCTGTTCTGCACTAATACCAAATAAAATTGGTTCCATTTGTGTGTAGAATGAAAGAAACTACGAGTAGTACAGTAACTTCAATCAGATGCATTTTCCTCTGTTTCAGCCTCACTGGTCTGGGAAAGGCAATACAGCACTACAACATAATCTGAATTTACAACAAATGCACACAACTGCAGAGATAAACCATAAACCGAGTCTTTTATTTGAAATTGTCAGATTACAAAATGTGCATAATTGATAGTTTTGCTTCTAAAACAAAGCATCTATTAAAGTAAGTTCCTGTATTTGGTAACTAGTAGTCTGCTGCTATTTCTTTAAATAGAGAACTATTCTTTCAGATAAATCATCTGGCCTGAAATGCTGAAAGTATTTTGAACAGAAAAAAGGCTGTGTTACCGTGAGCTGACAGAACAGCTCCAATTAAAGAATGGTAGTTTTGAGGCTGAAGTAGCATCCAACAGAAAAGGAGATTAGAATGCAGGTTACAAACCATGACCAGCAATGCCCATTATAAAAGAAAGCCTTTTAAAAAGTTTTACTTTCTGAAATGTGATTTCTCGAGAAGTCATTATTCCATTCTAAGCATTCTGCACAGCATGAGAGCAGAGAACCACCAATTAGAAAACTTTCCCTCCCCCATTAATGACTTTTCCTTACACCTTTTATTGTAATTTCAAAGGATATAAATGAGACAAAATACAAAATAGGCAGAAACTAGATGGCTCAGGTTACTGGTAATTGGATCTGTGGCCCTTCACAAACAGATTATCAGTTACATCTAGTCCTCCTCACTAGTGACAAAATGTTACTACTCTCTGACATTTATTCAGTGGCCTGTGTGACATGAATCAGTATCTTTCCATTCCATCCTAGTGGAAAGGTGACCACAATAGAAAACCACCCTCAACAGTAGGTACCAATTTGCACCTTTGCTGGCAGGAATTAAGGAATAAATGGAAATAAAGATAACCTCCCTCTTTCCTTCCAGATTTGATAAGCCCTTGCACAGCCAGTGCCTACTTGGTGGACAAACAGCAAACTTCAATATCCAGAGCTTTGAATGCAGCATTAAGATTTATACACACAATTTTGAACTCAAAAGAGAAGGATATGAGTTTAAGAAAGCTGAGTCTCACAACTTCTATTTTTTAAGGAGCAGAGTGAAAAAGAACACATAAACCATTATAAACCAAGTTAGGGAAATCTAGACAGGACAGATTATAGAAAACAGAGCCCATAATGAGTAATATCATAAAGGCCATAAAATAATATGAAAATGAAGCCAAAAGAAGTGCACAGTAAGCTAATAAAAATGGCACAATTATTATACAACAACAAATACGTGAAGTCAGAGCAACCAACTTGATAACAGAAAAACACTAGCAAAACATGGTTCTTTGTAGTGGGGAACATACGTACATCTAGTTTGAATGTTTACAGAAGATCTCATACCTTGTGCACCTGCGGACTTCCCTGGGGACATTTATTTAGGACTTATCTACACACAAAGGCTGTATTGCTGTACCTATACTGGTATAGTCAAAGTGGTACAATGCTAGACCCGCCTTCCCTACCCTTCCCCTTTTCTCCTACAACTCATCCTCCTCGGTCAC